TCGATAATCTTGAATAGGCTCAAAAGGTGAGTTACGCCATACGATTCTTTGAAAGTCAGAGTCCTTCAAAATAACCTGTCTGTACATTTTCTCAATGTCTGCTGTTAGAGCAATTTTATGTGTTCTAAATCTTATGAGCAATGTTGTTAAGTCATCTTGCAACTGCGGTCCTACCATCAATTTGTCATTAAGTGAAACACCAGTTGAAGATTTTGCAGAACCATCGAAGACAACACGGAATTTATCCCCGATTTTGTTTGGAACTGGATGATGAGGGAGATAAAAACTAGATGTGGCTGGAATGTCAATGTCCGTTTCTGGTATTAATTCCATGTGTCCGAGATCTAAATAATCTTGCATGAATTTATGATACTGCATATAAAGTGACTAATTTTTGACAAACCTACGTTCAATTTGTTGCAAAGGATGAATAGCAAAATTCCGAGAGGAACCAAGTTTTTCAGATGATTCACGAAAAGGAAAATTGACAGCAAATCTGCCAGTAGAGTCTCGAGAAAATGTTTCTTTAAAATGATTTTCGCATGCAATTCCTTCCTCTGAATGGGACTTTGCTTCTGTAATTTCTTCTAGCTTCCAGAATTTATCTAGCTGATATTCAGCTTCACTGCAACTAGCATGATTTGTTATGATTGTACGTGTTTTGATAGGTGACTTGCTTTCTGTTCTTCCCATAATAACCCATCCGAAAATGGATTCTAGAGCAGTTAATGAAAGTTCTGGAATAGTTAAACGTCCGTCGAGCATTATTTCGCCAAAAACTTCTGCACCCAGTAAAATATCTATAGGTCCAGGTTGGAGGCAATTTGCATCTGCTAATTTTAATTGTTTAAAAGAATTCAAAACAGACGCATTGACCTCTGTTTGAGGAAGATCACAAGTTATTTTGGGTATAATTAAAGCTTCTGTTGTGATATTAGCATTTTTGAAAAATAATGATGTAATGTGTATTTGAACTGAACCTGTAACCTTACCTACTCTTTGTGAACTTAGGCCATCAACACTGATGCTCGCGCGATTTCGTTTTAACTTTAATAAATTAACACAACTCTCCTTAATGAATGTGCCTTGACTGGCTGAATCTATAAGGAGTCTGCATTTATGTAGTGAGCCAGCACCGCCCTGAACATTAACAACAGCGGTGGGTAATAAAACGCATTGTGCCACTGGAATAGTTGTGTTGTTGCTACTAATAGTAGAAATTATTTCGTTTTCCCCCTGTGATCTTANTCTTTCTCCTTCTGCATTTGATCCAAGAATCGACAAATATATTCTTAATGCAATATGAACGTTAGGAAAAGTATTCACTAGTTTATCTTTAACATAGTTATCAATCGAACTAATAATGGTATTATCGATATCGACTGCAATATCGGCAGTATGTCGGTATTGCAGATAAAGTTCGATAAACAAATTTGTAAATTAAAATCCATATTAATAAAAATGTAAAAAAAATATGCATGAAAATTTTAGCATATATTTTGAAAAGAGGGGAGGAGTGGGGGAAGGAGGGGAGGGCCCAAAAACGGCTATGACTAGGGCCCACGAAAGGTATAATCCGGCTCTGTGCCTAGGGCCTACGAAAGGTATAATCCGGCTCTGGTGCCACTGGAATAGTTGTGTTGTTGCTACTAATAGTAGAAATTATTTCGTTTTCCCCCTGTGCTCTTAATTTTGTTTCATTTGAGTTTTTAGAACATAATAATGTATTATGCGGCTGAGCGCAATTCTTACAAGTTCCCATACGGCATTTCGAAAATGAGTTTTATTCGATTTGAGACAATTCGCACAAAGCTTATTTTTGTTTACTATGTCCCATTTTTCTTTCATCGGAAGTTCAATAAAACTATCGCATCTGAATAATCCGAAATGAGTATCACTTTTGCAAAACAAACAAAAATGAGAAACTAATTGTGATGAAAATGATTTATTTATTTTTTGATTTCGATTGGCTCCGCTTTCAAAGTTTGCATTTGTTTTTTCTTTTTGGCGTAGAGCCAAAGACGCTAGCCCGTTAGCTTTATTCAAAACAAAAGTTCTGAATTCTGCGAACGAAGGGATATTTTTTGTTTGTTCTAACGTCCAAACGCGAAGTGTTTCTGGATCAAGTTTCCCCTTCAAAAGAAAAATAATGATAGTGTCCCAGTGCTCTACAGGCTGTTTAAGGACCTTTAATATATCAATACATTGTGAAGTAGCATCAATTAATTTTCGTAATCCTGACGCGGATTCATATTTTAGGCTAGGTTGAGAAATTAACCTGTTTAATGCTGCGTTAATGATTTCTGTTTCGTTTTCATAACGTTCGTGCATTCCACGCTCTTTGGTAATTTTCATTAGTAATTTGAATCGATTGTAATAAAGTAGCTGATTCCCCTTTAACAGAGAGTTTAAGGTACTGTAATTTTTGACAATTACTTAAAGAACTGTTATTTCCTCCGCTTGCTAAGAATAAATCGCGAAATGAAATCCAATCAAGATAATTAGAAGTAAATATTGGTAGNTTTGATTCTGATGATTCCTTCATGGTGTTGCATTTTCTACAAACAGCAGTTTATTTACATCAGCATTGGATGTATTTTGAGAAGCAATATTATTTACATTAACGTGATCTTTATTATGTTTTTTTAATTCATTCTTTAAAGTAATCTTTAAAGTATCTACTTTTGAAAGTAATTCATGCATTTCTTCTTCATATTTATCGAATTCTGTATCAGAACAAGAAAATAGAATTTCATCATTTAAATTATTTACATCAGTATTTAATGAATCAGTATCGTTTTGATAAACTTCGATATTGGAAACAGAAATCTCCTGTCTTTGCAAGCTATTTACTTGAGTAATTAATCTGGTTAGCTTACCTTTAATGATTTTCTTACGTTTTAGAAGGGAATCCATGTTTGACTGTGATCTCCCGCAAAAAGAGGTGTGCTTCTGATTTGAGTTGGGATTAGCTTTTAGGTTTTATGAATGTTATTCCGTTGATTTAGAAGTTTCGCTGACTGTGTCACTGTCATTCATCTTAAAAATTATATGCTGGGGCTAGGACGGACCATTTTGATGATGAGATGAGACAAGAAACAGCACGCGCTTCTAAATCTAACTTTATTCCTCTTTGTTTACACACACTGAACAACAAAATTAATAGAAATAATAGAACATGAATAATAGCGCCCTCTAGTGATGAGGCAAACTGAATTTAAGGCCGAACAATTATCTAAATAGATTCATATAACAAATATAAATTAAGGAATGACCCCTATTAAATTATTAATCCTAATTTAGTTCAATAAATTTTAAATCAAATAATTAAAAATAATTTTAATAATTTTGAAATGAAAATTCAGTGAGTATTGTAGTTAAATATTTTTGTCAGATGTAAATTATTATTCAATCTCCAAATTCATAATATTTAATATATCTGAGATTAGTTAATTGCCAATTTCAAATAATTTTAAATCAAATCAAAGAGATTAATGATATTTTTTAATGACAAATTTGCATCTCATTAAATTTCCTATTATATTTACTAAACCTTAAATAAGTTGGGCCCCCAAATTTTTACTTTTTTCAAAAATCCTGCCTCTAATAATAATTACATTTTTTTTTTCATGAAATAACATAAAAATGCTGCAAATTTAAACAACAAATCCAGTAAAATAAGACTTTACAAAAAAAACTTAAAACACTTAGTATAATTAGTCAATGGTCACGATTAAAAATCCCATGATTAAAATACCGTAAATAATTTTTGTCTTTTCTAAAACAAATGAATAAAAGGAAGGCAAACATTTCAAAAAGAGGAAGTTCTGTGTTTGTTGACTGCTCTGGAACCACATGAAAATATTTAATTAGTGAGAAATCCCTAAGTCAAGTTTAAGAATTGTGGAGCTGACCTAAAAACTGAACAGAGGAAGAAATTTATAGGCTTTCCTATAACATGAAAATAGTGCTTTGCAAAAACAAAATGCAAAGAAATTACCAGGAAAAGAAAACAATTTTTTTTTTTTGCGGCCAGAGAAAATATCTGGTATTGTTTAGTTGGTCCACGAGATCAGCAAAAATTTGAAAGACATTCGGTTTGATTTCAGAGACAAAGCCTGAAATCGAGCTTACAAAATTTAGTGAGTTGCACATGTGAATGCAGGAATACTTTTTAACGAATCCGGTTTAGTGCTTGCGCAAGCAAACTCCAATATGTTCCAATATGTCCAGTTCAGCCAATATGTAAAACAATTGGCACTTAAGTACAGTATGGAAGTCAGTACGCCAAAATGGATTAGAGGTGAATGGCACCATTGTAAAAACTGAAAACCATACTTTTGGCACAATTCATGACGACAATCGTCATGACGTAGGAAAAAAAATCTTTTTAGAAAAAGAAAATCGAGCACTTTTTACAAACTTAATAAAAAATAATCATTTTAAGGGCTTTTAAAAATTGAAGTAAGTAAGATTTTTCCTATTTATAATTTAAATCATAAAATTTAATGCTGAATAAAAAGACAAAATATAAAAATCATAGTATTAGAAGATACAAACATTATGTATTCAATCTTATCTCCCTTATACCTTTTTCACTAGATACCTAAAAATATTTTAATATCATAATTGTTCCTACAAACAAACTAGAAGATGAGAAAACTCAAAAATATATCTCAGGTGAACAATGTAATGAGGAAAACATATGATTAAACGAATTTTTGTTTTAAAACTCATATTACCTAATTTCATATCTAACATAAAACTCAGAATAGTAATAATAAGTTTTAAGTATTAAATTATGTTTCAAATAGTCCTTGACAACATAAAAAGCATATATAGCAGTTAAAAAGTAAGGTAATAAAACAATCTTTAAAAAAAAAAAAATAAGATATTGAATGTCCAAAATAGAGATATTTAATGTTCAAGTAATGAAGATTTAAAAAAAATATTTTATAAAGAATTGCGCAATGTCTCATGGGATAATAAAAACTCAGCACCTCCATGAAATTCCTATCTAAATGTCCAAGCATTTGCTGTGAGAGAGAATGTAAAACTCTTGGATGACAATTTGATGGCCCTGGACCCATCAATAATTTTTGTGGTACATGAAGGGGAGTCAATAATTCTGGAGGAGGTTTAGTCATCATCGTCAATCCTGTAAATAAAACAGCACTCTATATATATATATATATATATATATATAACAATATTTTTTTTCTGTAATCTGCTGTTGTTATTTTATATTAGTAACAAATATGTTTGTTTAAAAATATCTTGCAGTAAGATATTAGTGCTGGAAAGTTTTGTCACAGATAGCTCGAAAAAATTCTGCCTCAGGGCTAATAATAAATGTTGTCCAGTCAGTGTGAGAACTTATTTTTTTTCTTGAACCTTTCAATTTTTGAATATCTCTAATTTTTTTTAGCGAAGTATCATAGCTACGTATTTCTATTTTATTTTCAACAAATTGAATATAAGTTTGCATTCATTGCTTTGTCAGTATAAAAATACTCTATCATTTTGTTTCAGTTTAGAGTTGTGAAACGATATTTATATGATTTTTTGAACAGAAAATTTTCAGCTTAATAGTAGCATTCGTTATGGTTTTTGAGCTTATTTTGTATCAATTTTTTGAAGAAATTTATATATATCATTTAAAAACATATCAAGATCATTTTTTTATCATGCTTCTTAAAACAGCTAAGTCTTGTTATAAGTTTTACCTAACAAATCAAAATTATTACTAAAAAAAA